AATGAGTTCCTGTGTGGTTTGGAACTAAAGAGCAAAAATAGTAGTGAGATAGGAGTAGGTAATTTATTCAACTATTCAACCACATTGTATTCACTATGTTTAATAAATTTTAGAAATTATGCAACCTCTTTTTCCATCATAGGTCCTTTCGAGTCATTTGTCAGTCCTTAAGATTGCGTTTTGTCTTCATTCGAACCTTGCTCTTTTTCTTTTCCTTTCTCTTTTTTTAAGATTCTCTAAAGCTTCTGACTTATAACAACATTCGCTACGGGGTAATCACTTCGACATTGGTTATACTTACAGAACTAGCTTAAGGTGTAGCTATCTTTTTCCCATGTTGGAAACTTGTATGCTGTAGTTATAATTCCAAGGTATAGCCTTGTCACTTTTGTAAGGGAAAAGTTTAAGAACTTAAATGGTGACTTTTGCCAGTATCTTGTCCTTGACAAATTTTTCTTTCTCTTCATTGAAAATAGTTAGAGGTCTTAGCTTAACTTGATTGGTCAAATTCTATACTGAGTACTCCATTATCAATTTCACTAATGGCTTTGAAGCTTCTACATAGAATTTAATCAACGATTCATCCATCATTCTTTGTATCTCCTTTCGGAATGGAATACAATCTTTTGTAAGATGCCCTAAAAATCTTTTATGAGATAAGCAATAAGGACCTTGGATTCTTTTTAAACCATTCATGATAGAATAATTTAACCAAATTCCAAGCATATTGGTTTTCACCAAAGCTTTAAATACCATTTCTATAAGTGATTCCACCTCTCGAACATTCCTTTTAATGAACTTTTCCTTTTCCTATAGTACTTACTCCAACTCCAGTGTGGTTTGGCAATGGATTATCATTAACACCTTGGTCAGTTTTCTTTTCAAAGTTTAAGAAACCCACCTTAATCAAGCCTTGCACCTTGTGTTTGAAGGCTGTGCAGTTTTCTATTGAGTCACTTTCAACTCCATAATGATAATCGCAATGTGCGATAGGTTCATACTATATTAGAAATAAAGGTTTTAACGGTTCTTTGTATAAGGGTGCCACAACATGATTTGCGACCAACTGTGTGAACAATTTGGCATATGATATTGGAATTAAGTCAAACTATAGTTTCTCTTGCCTATTCTGCCATTCTCTTAACTCATTGGTTGTATTATTAAGAGATACTATCAGTTGTGGGGCTAAAGCTAAAACAGGCGTGGGAGCAAATAGGTGAATATTCACCAAGTAAGGTGTTCGTTGAACAAGAGCATATAAGTAAAAGTTAGGTAAGAAGTTTGGCATTGGTAGGTACAAGTATGGACTCTCGAATGTGTTGTTCATTGTTGGGTACCAAGGATATGAAGGGTAAGGATGAGAAGGGTTATAAAACCCATATTATGGTTGCCCCAAGGAGAAAGCTTGGTTTCTCTTTCTTTCTTTTTAAAAGGATTCCCTTTTTTCGTGTTTGTTGCCTCATTTCCTTCCATTTTGTCTTACTTGATAGCGTTCTCGATCATTTCTTTGAAATTTCCATATCAACCAAATGCTTTGTAGCATTCCCAACCAACCTTTCACAATAGGGTGCTCACAAAGTATTGACAAACATAATTGTGGTTTCTTTTTTAGTCAAGGGTGGCTAAACTTGAGAAACCATGTTCTTCCATCTTTAACCATATTCTTTGAAGCTTTCAGTGGGCTTTTTCTCCATATTTTGCAAAGAAAGACAATCAAGAGCCATGTTTATAACATGCTAGTATTGGGCCACAAATGTCTCAGCAAGGTCATTCCATGTATGGATTCAGTTGTGGTTTAACTAGACATACCATTTTACCACAATGCTTGTGAGGCTATCTTCAAAAAAATAGATCAGAAGTTTATCATCATGTGCATATGTAGCCATTCTTCTACAATACATGGTGATATGTGTAACTAGGCATCCATGGAATAATACATGTCCTTTCTTTCTACCATATGTAACCTCTCTTTTAGCAGGTCATACTTTTGACAAGCTTTAGGGTTATCTTTGGATTCAAAGAGACCATACTTAAGTTTTTCCAGCTTCTTTAGATCATCTAAATTAGGCATAGAAATAGGATCGAAATGAGCCATTCCCCTACTTGGCCTTAGTTAAACATAGGTCGGAGGTAGTCCTATAGCTAAAGACATTTTGAAGAATGGATATGGGCCAACTTGTGACCTAAAAACTTGAAGGTTTCTCATCTATGGTGGGGTGAATCCCGATGGCTATGCAAGTTCCACATTGGTATCTGATGGTTGTAGCTCTTCTAGTACACAAGAACTTTTCATCACCTTTTATCCCTTATCGGTAGATATCATTTCTAGAATTTTAACTAACTATTCCATTATCTCCTTCGACTTCTTCTCAATTTTATCTATCCTCTTCGATTACTCATCCTCGATCACCTTTAAGCTAAATCTCGTGTTGTATTTGTGAGGAATTTGGTTTCTCGAAGTTTAGTGCTATTTAATCATTTTCATAAGCATAAGTTAAAATTTTATTAACTAATTAAATAATTGACAACAAATAAACATTAATGTTTTTTTCTACACCCTTGTTGAGTGAATCATGCAATTCTAATGCAAGTGGAAAAATGCTAGCCATCCAACAATAATTACCATAAGAAATCCAAATCCATAAAACTAAACATTCAATTACATCCATATTTAAACATTTACATCATTGGTTTCAAAAGAAAAGTCCAACTCGATCATATTAATCCCATACTATCTTAAGGTGACCTATTAGATGCTCACTAAGCTTATCTTTTGGAAGAATCTCTTACCTATGCTCTTCAGTATTATTTGCCATCTCCTTTGCTTTAAAACTACTTCCTTCATTTGCATCAATATCCATTCCATTTCAGATCACTTCCTTCGAAGATCTTGTTCATATAAATCTCCCACTTCTCACATCTAAAAGTATTCTTGCCTAATGACTTCATGTTGCTCTTTATAGCCCTTCATGGTTGCCTCAATTAAGTTGCAAATGCTCTTGAACTCTAGTATGATTTTCTTTTGTAATTGTACTTTATGTTGTAAAGTATCATTACGGTTTGCATCTCATGAATTTTGACAACCAATGATGAACATGTCACATTTGAACTTTTAAACTTGTTTCTCCACTCATTTCGTTCTTCAAAAGCTCTTTGAACTTTCCTTGATGCCTTTTTCTTTACTTCTTCTAGTTCAGCTTCATATCTATGTTTCATCTCATCATTCCTATCTCAAGCTTCCTTCTAGCCAACTCACTTTGAAGGTGAACATCTTGAGGCTCTAGAGCAATAGGGAGTTTAAATACACTTTTTGGAGGACAAATGACATATTTCACTCTTTGGGTATGCCATGCTAAATATTCAATAGTGACCTCGTTAATGAACTTTCCTGATCCACCTACTCGTCTTTTTCCAAGCTTGAGCTATTTTCTAAATCTTCTAAGTTCCAAGCTCTCCACATGTGAATTCTAGCTAATTAAGCTATGGGTCATAAGTACAAATTGGTCGAATCCAAACTGCCTTCACACCATTATGGGAGCATAGTAACTACTCCCTATTGCCGCATCAGTGGTACCCATGCCTCAACTCCGCACTTGTACATTACTTGCATCTTAAGCATCCAAGGAACTCTTCAAGTCACCTCCACACTTATCAACCTCTTAAGTCTTGTAATCCATTCTTTTTCCTTTCTTGCAAACCTGCCACTCATTTTTCATAGAATTCAATGATAGGATAACTTGACGGTAAAAAGGGCTTTTGGAATATGTCAACTTTGATGAGTATGGCTACTTGGGTGGAAAACCCCCAACCACTCCTATTGATTACAATGCTAAACTTACTAAGGCTAGTGCAAATTTTGAATTTGTTGATCTTACTGTTTATAGATAGTTAGTTGGCAAATTTTTGTATCTTACTTTTACACGTCCTGACATGACATTTGCAGTTCAGTGTTTGTCTCAATACATGGATAATCCAATTACCATTCTTTTACTAGCTGCGCATAGGGTTCTCAAATATCTCATGGGCGTTCCTGGTCAGGGATATTTTCTGCTGGCTTTGATGTGAAGTTAATTATGTTTACTGATAATAATTGGGAAACAGAGATAGAAATAGTAAAGGAAGAGTAGTAAAAAATGAAGGAAGGAGAAAAACCTATTCGAATGGAAAGACGCAATTGCCAAATATCGAAATACCTACCTTGAAATAAATAAAAATTTCACCAAAACAATGTAAGTAAAAATAGAAACAAAGCGAAAGAGGGAATGGAAATCAGAAAATCAAAGAACAATGAAGAACAATGAAAATGAAAGAGAACAAATAAATAGACAAAATAAAGATAGAAAGAGTAAAAAATCAAACCAAGGAAGAAGAAAATTCTAGAATCATGTAAATAACAAAGAAGTGGAGAAAAGCATAGATAGAAAGAATAAAGGAAGCAGCAAAATCTATCATAACGAAAAGACAAAACTATCAAAAAGAGATAAAATGATAAATAGAATATAGACTTTTTCATGAATAGAAAACACATTCTAAGGTTTTAATTGGTCATGTCCACGACTAGCTATTAACTCTTCAATTGTTCTCTTTTTGAAACAACTTTTAATATATATATATATATAGATAAGATATGATTTGTTTTGATTACAAATAATATTTAACATATACAGTCTTAAAAGTTGAATGAATATTTATAATAAATTAAAAAACTTAAACATGTTAAATTAAAAATAACACTAGTACTCCACATAATTTTGTAATACAGAAAAATGCTATTGACATGGCAAACTATTATTGGCCGCGATAACCAAAAGATTAAAAGACCAGAAAAGGCAACCAGGCCATGGCCAATGGACCAGGTTCGACAATAACCGACAAAAGCCCGTGATAACATTCTTAGAAAGGGCCAAAAAAAGCAAAGAAAAACCCATGGAGCTGATTCGCCGTGAATAAAAAGGGGAATTTTCATTTTAACCCCTTGAGAAGAGAAGCGTAATAGAGAAGCCAAGCAAACAGATTCTCGCAGTCGTTGTTTCGGAAGATTCGCTTCCATTTTCTTCTCTTATTCCCGCACCTATAAATACTTCAAGAAAACCCACAGTGACAACTAGACAATCTACTTCTTTAACCCCTTGCTGGTTCTCGAGAGAAACAAGAGAGAGCAAATGGCCAACCCGCCAAAGCCATGGAAAGCCGAATACGCCAAGTCGGGTCGATCATCTTGCAAAACTTGCAAGAACACCATCGACAAGGAGGTCTTTAGGCTCGGCAAAATGGTCCCAGCCACTCAGTTCGATGGCTTCATGCCTGTACATTTCCCTCCACTACTTCTTTCTGCACTGATTTTCTTGTTGTGGGTCTTTCTTTTTTTGGAGAATTCAGGGCATGTTAAGTACATGCAACTGCAATTCTTTTTTGGGTTTGTGAGATATTGCTTAGTTGTTTGCCTAATCTTTTCTTTTTGTCAATTTCGATCTTTTTAGGCTTAGGCATTAAGTTTCACTCCCATGTACTTGTAAAACTCAATGTCTTCATTTTTGTATTGTTATTTTTTACCTTTTACATAAATTTTACTCATTGCATCATTATGGATGCTTGCATCTTCTAACTTTGTACTTATGTTTGCCTGTTTTGTGAATTAGATGTGGAACCATGCCAATTGTGTACTAAGGAAAGCAAACCAGATAAAGTCGTACGTATTCTTCCAATTGTCTTCTGTGATTTCCGTAAGATAATCTCTATTAGATGCAGAGTTTAACTCTTTATCTTTTTATTGTGTAGCATTGATGATGTTGAAGGCATAGAATCACTTCGATGGGAAGATCAACAAATAGTTAGGAACTATGTGGAGGACGGCGGACCTGCAAATACAAAAACTGTCACTGTTACAGCTATGGAATATGCTATTGAAGTTTCGCAAACTTCTCGTGCTACTTGCAAGCATTGCAGCCAAAAGATTATGAAAGAAGAGGTGGATTTTTATGTTGAATGCTTTTCTTTATCTATTTATGCTTTTTATGTACTTGGTTTTGACTTTAGTTGCTGAATTGTGGTTTAGTAAAATGGATCTATGAATTAATGGCTTATCGTGTGGAAGTGTATAAGGTTGAAAATCTGCTTCAAGGACCCAGTAAACGCACTCTTCTTTTGGTTCTTGGCGTTGGTAAATATTTCATGGTGATAGAAACTTGCTTCATGTGTGACGACAGATTAAAGATTTTTTTCATTTTGGTAGCATGATAAACTGTTAGATGTTGGATGAGTAAGATAAAAATGGTTTCACATGGTTGGAGCATTGTTCTGAGATAAGGGCTGGATGAGGTGCATATGTTATTATGCTACTAATGGTTGGGTTGATAGGATAACTCTATTTTTTTTTCTGCATGGTCTTTCCAAGAGCATTTAGTTGTGTGCACATTTTTTCATTTTTCATCTTTGGAATCAGCCTGTCTTGTACCCTTGTTTTTTCTCACAAATTGGTTTCAGGGTGGTTTCTTCAAATCAAATCAAATGTGAGATCTATGTGCTTGTAAAGTATCTATCTTTGGCTTCCAAAAAAGAGTTCTCTTATATACCCTTCTTTGCTTTCTTGCAAAGGATGAAATATTTTTTTTTCCATTTTTCAGACAAATTAGGATTTTTTTTTAATGTGTATGATGTGATTCCCTTTTTTAAGTATCCCCACTCTAAGCATGTAACATTTTTTAATAATTCCATTTTCTTGGGAGTTAGAGAGTCCTTGGTAGCAATATGAAAATTATTTTATCAGTTAATTCCTAATATTGCAATTGATCTTAAATAAGATTGATATATCAAAGAACATGGTAGAAGCAAGAGGTAAATTTTGAAATTCATTTGTGGTATGTGCTGACAGTTTTATGCTGTTGCTTAAGATTTAGGTATTCTTAATGTTTTAAGTATTTTTTCAAGACAGCATTGGTGATGCTAGTTGTGCACAAATGAGTTTTGACATTTTCGTTCATTGATTTTTCTAATATTGTTAGGTTCGTATATCCACCAAGCCCAAGGGCCAAGGATCCAAGGGATTGGTGTGGAATCATGCCATGTGTTTCATGGAACTGTCTCCTGCTACTCAAGTGGTGAAGTTGCCTGGATGGGAAAGCCTTTCCTCTTCTGACCAGGCAACTGTTCGTGCACTGGTTAAGAAGGTTCCTTCTGCTGCTAAGAATGGTATGGGGTTTAACTATCCTTTGTTTTCTCATTTTAATGCCATAGTGGTCTCTAAATTTTGATTTAGTTGCTTTCTCTTTGAATCATGTTGTCCCTTCAGACAAAGGAACTGAGGTACCAGAGGATAAACAGCTACAATCAACGTCCAGAGCTGGCACAAAACGTAAAAAAAATGTTGATGATGATCAGAACTCAAAAGTCACTAAGTTGGAAGGTGATGTGCCATCTAGTAGGGCTGGGTCTACAAAGAACGCCAGTGACTTGATGGATAAAAAGCCAAAAGATTCTGATCTGGAAAGTAAAATGGAGGCCCAGACTAAAGAACTATGGGCTTTGAAGGATGACTTGAAGAAGCATGTGACAACAGGAGAACTGCGTGAGATGCTTGAAGCCAATGGTCAAGATGCAACAGGATCAGAACTTGATTTGCGTGATCGTTGGTAAGATCTTTATTATGCGAAGATATTTGAGATTGTGTTTTCCTTTTCTATAATCATCTAGTCAAGCACTTTCATGAATGTTTTATGAGTTATTTTACTGTAGTGTATGATTTTGCAGATTCCTGTGCTTGATCTGTCAACGGAAGCAAATACATTTTACCTATATCAAAAACTTGATAGTTCAATCTGTTGTTTCGATATTTTTTTTGTTTCAATTTTGCATATCTAGATGTAATTTTTTTGATGAAATTGCTGAATGATTAACACCATGCTATGAACATAAACTTCTAATTGTCAGCACCGAAATTGAAAGAATTCTTTTTGTATAATTTTGTCCAGTGCTGATGGGATGATGTTTGGAGCACTTGGTAAGTGCCCCATGTGTTCCAGTAGTCTTCGATTTTCTGGAGGCATGTACCGTTGCCATGGCTACCTGTCAGCATGGAGCAAGTGTTCTTACTCTAGTTATGAACCTGAACGTGTTAAAGGGAAATGGAAAGTCCCAGATGAAACGGATAATGAATTTCTTAGCAAGGTATTCGACTAAGATTCATTGATATAGGTTTATGAAACTGTAACTTTTTCCTGACTCAATTTTTTTCAGTGGTTTAAATCACAAAAAGTAAAAAAACCCATTCGCATACTGCCTCCATCTGCTTCTTCAAGTCAAGATGCTAATGACCAATCCCAAACTTCAAAGGTTGAAAGCTTGGCAGATTTGAAAGTTTCTATCGCTGGATTACCTCAGGAGTCCATGGTAAAATCTCTTGCACGATATTTATAATTTAGTGAAGTTATGTTGAGTTTGCTTGGAATAAATGTGAACATGTGTTCATATCTTGAGGATATTTGCTTCTCAGGAAGAGTGGAAGGGCAAAATCAAGGGAGCAGGTGGTATTGTTCATGCCAAAATCAAGAAAGGTTCGTGCTTACTGGCTGGATTTTTAACAATTGCTTGCTTTAATTGGTTGGTACCTAAAAAGTCATGTTGCAGATACTAACTGCTTTGTTGTGAGTGGGGAGCCGGATGGTCATGATGCTGAGGTCAGGAAGGCAAGGTAAAGCTGCCTTCATGTTTCTGGTCTTGAGTATGTATCTTGTTCCATTCATTTTAGTTCACAAGTGTTTCTGTTTTCAGGAGGATGAAATTGCCAATCGTTAGGGAGGACTACCTTGTTGATTGTTTTAAAAGACAGAAGAAACTTCCATTTGATTTGTACAAAGTTGAAGCCATTGGTGAGGCCTCTAGCATGGTCACTGTTAAAGTAAAAGGCCGAAGTGCTGTGCATGAAGCTTCTGGTCTGCAGGATTCATGTCACATACTTGAGGATGGGGGAAGTATATTTAATACAACTTTGAACATGTCTGACCTATCAACTGGTGTTAACAGGTGCATTTTGCCCATCTGTCTCTTTGGCTGGCTCTTTAATCTGTTATGTTTTGCTGTGACTTTCCTGCTTTGAAGTTTGTGCTGAATGCTTTTCTTGTTGCCAATGGAACGATACAACGTAATGATTGTATGTTCCTTGTTTTTTCAGAGGATAATGAGGGGCATTTTCCTCCCTCCCATCCTCATTGAAGACTCTGAGATATTTATTACTTTGGAAACTTAGCTTTTTCACCCATTACTTTTTTGACTCTGTTTTGTATATATACTTATTGCCACAGAATTTTGCCTCTTTGCTTTTGTAATCTCCTACTTTATGCTTTCTTTTGATTATTTCTACTCTCAATGAATATTAACTTCTACTTGTTTGGCATATGAAGTTATTACATCCTCCAAATAATCCAAGAAGATAAGGCGTCAGATTGTTACGTGTTCCGTAAATGGGGTCGTGTTGGGAATGAAAAAATTGGTGGAAACAAACTAGAAGAGATGTCAAAATTAGATGCAGTCTCTGAATTCAAACGTTTATTTCTTGAGAAGACTGGGAATACATGGGAGGCATGGGAGCAGAAACAAAATTTCCAGAAACAGCCTGGCAGATTTTTCCCATTGGATATTGTATTGCTTATTTCCTTTCAATCTCTCAGCAAATGTATTATGTCCCTTGCTTGGGTAGTGGATTCTCATTTCTTATAGTTCTCTTTCACATGACGGAATTTGTAGGATTATGGAATTAACAAACAGGTGTCAAAAAACAAGCACTCTGATGCAGACAGTCGACTTCCTCCTACGTTACTTGATTTGATGAAGATGCTTTTTAATGTGGAAACATACAGGAAATGGCGCACTTTCCAAGCAAACTCTCCCCTCTGTCTTACTCTGTCTGAAATTATTTAGATGTCTGAAAGACCCATTCTTGACTGCAGGGCTGCAATGATGGAGTTTGAGATTAATATGTCCGAAATGCCACTGGGAAAGCTTAGCAAAAGTAATATTCAGAAGGGTGCGTAGTTGTAAAAGTTTCATTTATTTTTCTGTATTATGCTCAACATCCTTGTTTGTTGCCTTATAGGAGTTAAAATTCTGTTGCATGCGCAGAGTAAAATTTTAGTAACCATATCTCCTTGCCCCAGGTTTTGAGGCATTAACAGAGATACAAAATCTATTGAATAGCAATGCTTATGATCCTTCTGTCAAAGAGAGCTTGATTATTGATGCCAGTAATAGATTTTTTACTGTTATTCCTTCTATCCATCCACATGTCATAAGGGATGAAGATGATTTTAAGTCTAAGGTACAGATTCTCCATCTTATTTCCTTTTCCTGATTTTTGAGCCTGTTGTGTATTCATGCGATTCACTTGTGAATAAGGGTACTGCCTCACTGTAAGTCATGTGCTTTAATTTCCTTTGAAATGTTTAGTGCAACTTATAAAATTATGTTACACCTGAAATAGGGCCAATTTATGCTGTATCGAATTGTTTGGGGATTGATTCTCAAATTTTGTATAAAGTGGAGTAGCCGGTTTCATTTACTGGGATGTACCTAGTTGCATTTATTTGTTTGGTTCCTGTATGTTATGTTTAAATGTTTATTTATTTCAAGCAGTCCCCATTTTGTCTTGTTTTGAACATTGGCATTCACATGTTCAATTCAGAAACAAATTCTTGTGTAGGATTGATTCTTAATTGCCTTCTATATTTTTTTCCCCCTGAAACACTAAAGGGTGTTATGCTGTTTCCTTAAGACATCTCAACTCTTTGGCTGCAGATTAAGTAATTAGGTTGTAGCTTTTGTTTAATTTGTGAATTGATTGTCAATAGCAATGCCTCTAACTTGTAACTGGACTTTTTCTCCTTGTCGTTGCAGCATTATGCTGTTGGTAAATAACATTTTCATTACATAGAACCTACACTTTATCTGGCACTTTGATAGTTGGATGTTATTTTGAGCCTTAGAGCACACTGTTGCAAATAAAAAGAAGGAAAATAGGAAAAATTTTATTGGCTGCTGTGTTCTAAAAGTGTGGATGTTACTAAGATATATATGTTTATTGCATTTGGATACATTGTATGCAGAAGACAGGAAGTTGGAGTTGAAACTTGCTCAAAACTCTTGCTGAAAAAGTGTTACTTGTTTTGAAGCGTTAACTGAACTTTGCAGTTTATTTTATCTTTCCATGGAAGGAATTTGTGATCCTCCTTTGTGCTTGAGAATGGTAGGTGAAAATGTTGGAAGCTCTTGAAGACATTGAAATAGCCTCAAGAATAGTCGGTTTTGACAATAACAGTGATGATTCCCTTGATGAGAAATATAAGAAACTCAATTGTGATATTGTTCCCTTTCCTCATGATAGTGAAGAATATCGGTTGATTGAGAAATATCTCCTTACCACTCATGCCCCCACTCATACTGTGAGTCCGTTTTCTTTCGTGAGAGTGACAAGCTCCAACTCCACTGGTTATGGGCTTGTTTATTGTTTGTCCTTTCTTTTTCTCCCTTTCTAAAATAGGCTCAATTTGCATTAAATATTTACTACTGCTATATGTTACTGCCAGGATTGGACTCTTGAACTGGAAGAAGTATTCTCACTTGAAAGAGAAGGAGAATTTGATAAGTTTGCTCCTTATCGAGAAAAGCTTACAAACAGAATGCTTCTCTGGCATGGTAAGTGGTTATTTATTTTCATGGGAGAGATTCATTGTTTTGATGCAAATGGCTATAGGTTGGGACAATTTCCCTGATGCTATTGTTTTTGAGATCTCTTGGTCCATTGTGAGATATTCTTCTATGCAGGTTCTCGGTTGACAAATTTTGTAGGAATACTTAGCCAGGGACTGAGAATAGCTCCTCCAGAAGCTCCAGCAACTGGCTACATGGTTCTCTTACATCCTCTTTTCATGAATGCTCATTCATCATTGCATACGTGATATATCTACTTCTTTTGCAAGACTAACGGTTGTAATTCTTTTCCATTCCAGTTTGGCAAGGGGATATACTTTGCTGATTTGGTCAGCAAGAGTGCTCAGTATTGCTATACTCATAAGCAAAGTCCTGTGGGCCTAATGCTTCTCAGTGAGGTTGCCTTGGGGGAAGTCTACGAGCTAACAAAGGCCAAGGTTAGTTTACCCTTTTTTTCCATTGAATAGAGAACTTGGCATTTCTTCGATATTTCTCCACGCTTACTTTTCCTTATTCACATTTAGTATATAGAAAAGCTACCAAAAGGAAAGCACTCTACAAAAGGCCTTGGCAAGAAAGTACCTCAGGAGTCTGACTTTGTGAAGTGGAAGGATGACATTATTGTTCCTTGTGGCAAACCAGTTTCATCCAAAGTGAAGGCATCTGAGCTGATGTATAATGAATACATAGTTTATAACACAGCTCAAGTAAGTTCTGAGATTTTTGCTGTTAAATTTCTCAAAAGCTTTCCTTGTAGTTAACTAGAGTTGCAGTTTGGACTTGATGGGTTGTCTACCCTTGGTGTATGAAAATCAGTTAGACCTTTGGTTCTTTGCTATGTGCATTAAGCATATCCATCTATGCATGATAAAATATAAAGGTTGTTGGAAAGGCAAATATACATTTTCCAAATTCTCTCTATTCCCTTTCCCCTAAAAAATTTCATCATTCTTTTTCTGTTTTTAGTGCTTTGAAGGTCTTTTCTTTTCCCTCTTTTCTCTTCTAAAGAATTGGTTGAAGTTAAATGAACAATGGATTTAATCCTTGGAAATCTATTGGTTGGAAAACGCCTGAAAAGGTTTGAGGTAAGAAATTGCTGGCATTCTTCAGGAGGAAAGACTAAATGGCTTAGTTTGAATTAACCTCTGACATATATCCTTCTGGGTGTAAATAAATGGCCTTTGTTTGAAACTGATTGCACTGTGTTATTATTAGTATTATTATTACTCTCAATCTACCACTGCTGCTGCAGCTGCTACTGCTCCTGTTTTTACTAGTTATATCATTGTTATTTATTGTTGCACTCGATGTTTTTAATGTGATTGTGCACTTACCATGTGCATAATGTTATCATGGACAGGTTAAGATGCAGTTCTTGTTGAAGGTGAGGTTTCATCATAAGAGATGAGGCAAGATGATGGATGTTTATATGTACTTTGGCGAAGGTCACAATCTGTAAATGCCAAAAAATTGAAGTTGGTCTTTTTTTGGATTTTCTGAAGGAAGGTTGGGTCTTGATAAGATCTCTTTTTGGGGTTAGCTTGGAGTTGGAGATCTTTTAACTTGTCTATTATCGATGTGAATGCTGTTTGTAAATTATGGAAAAACACTCGCAACTTTGATCTTGTAAGATTCCATCATCTTTTCGCCCTACATGGTGGGATTAAATGGTAATGAATCTACCAGCTTATTTCATCCTTACAACATGAGCAAATTCAATTTGCATGACATTTATGGAGTTTAAAAGTGTATTCATATGACAAGCACTGATAGCTTCACTTTGAAGAGCCTAGAGTTCTATGGCACATTTGTCACAGGTTGAGAATTTAGGCCTATTTCTGGCATCTACGAATTGACAAGTTTAAGTCGGTCTCCACCCTGTGTCTTAGTTTTCTAGCACTTACCAAAGAAACGAAACGCATAACAAAAGGGTACTGTTTATCACTCTCAGTTCCGCAACCAGATATGCTACAAACGAGAGATATCTTATTACTGATAGAGAAATTGTTAGTTTGCATGTGCATGTGAGCCATGTCCATGGATGACGCTGTCACTTGTCGTAAAAACTATAAATGCTGTAACGTTGAGCGGCTAGAAATGATTTGCAATTTTCCATGGCAATGCTAAGCCTGGTTATGGCAGAGGCTTGGCGAGGAAGATGAAGTCAGGAGTATGACAGTGGAATGTGCTTTTTGGTGCAAACTGCCATGTTCCTCTGTTAGGGAGTGACGAACCTTTAACCCAGCTATGCTTTCTTTATCTCTGTACTCGTTTATTTGGGCTACACGGCTGTTGTTGTGGCAACACGCCACGCCATTTTAATCCCAGGTTCCAGCTGTTTTGGGTAGATCGATATATTTCCACGTCTGCTGACGGCGGATGCAAACATAACCATATCTATTAAGATTACCTTTTGTTAGCATATGAATTGATCTGAAATGCAATGGATTGTTCTCATACTATATTGTTTTGTGGAATTCAAAAGGATACTTGTGAAGATTGTACGGATACAACAGGGAAATAATGTATACTGTACCATTGGGCTCTTTTCTGTCTTTATTTTTGGATGAGATAATCGTTTTACAATTATTTGAACAATCAGTCCTGCTAAAGAGACTCCTGATTTGATTGCCAGTTTCTAAATTGTCATCACAAATAATGATCCATCCAAACTCTGTTTATGTTTTCCAGATAGAATTCCACATTTTTTGTAGCTTCTATTTAGAATGGAGGATAAACTGAGCTCATTAATTTGTAAGAATCTTTGATGGATGGATGGTGATTACCAATCAGCCAAGTTAACTTGTGTTAGCAATTTGGTCCTCCTTTACGTTGGATCAATTTTCCAATTATGGGAACCTCTGTAGGATATACTACAACCTGGATCTTTGATTGAACTGAGAAATTATTTTGTTGTTATACATGGAGAGTAAACGTGCATCGGCGACAAGAAACATTGAATCAACAGACCTCTGCGATCATGGGGGACAAGAAAAGTTGCAAAGTGCAAAAGGGGTTTCGCAGTTGACAGGAAATGCCAAAGAGAATGGAGTGAATGTGGTGAGTGTATCAGGTTAAAAGTGGTAACTTTCGATGGCCCTGGTCCAGCAATGAACGCTGAAAATATTGCTGTCCAGAATAATGCCCCGCACGCATAATGGTTTTTGTTACATCATGTGTCTGCGAATCCCACAGGAGATTTGTGCAATTTAACTCAAAAGCCAAAGCCTGCCTGCACCTTCTAACTGTTTGATTCTCCAAAAACCATGATCTTTCCTTTGCACAGGGCTCTAGTAGCATAACGCGTATTCATTGTTACGCTCTCTTCTTTTAGGGTTTCAGGGAAAAATGATGGCCTCACTTGGAAGTAGGTTACCCTTTGTTTTGTTGCCCCGTCTTTTGTCTCTCGTGTGATACATTCATGTACACGAGGGTGAACTCAACTTTATTACGAGTAGGCAGAGGAGCACTGTTTTCATGAACCAGCTAAAATTAAGTCAATGTCTATGTTTCCACAAGTCCAAACAGCAACAAAAGCAAAAAGTAGCTCCTTTGCTTCACCTTGGCTCAAAGTGCAAAGCAGCATTATTGAGGTGCAAGAAAATTAAAAAAAAAAAAAGAAAAGAAAAAGAAAGAAAATGTAAACAGTTGTTCAGTATAATGTAAAAATCTAATGGATTTGTCATGTTTGAAGCTGAAAGAGGACCCCACAATGTCAATCTTCCCATATTACACAAATTAAAATGTAAAACTCGTTTAGAATCATTTAAGCAAAACCGAAATTAAAATGATTATCTTTGAAACAAAGGGTGATACCTGATTGTCAAACAATAACGCTACAAGCAAAGTGTTTCTCATAACACAGCAACAACATCAACCAAATGCGCACCAAAAAACAGTGTCGTAACTCACCCAAGTGGTTGTCGGTAGGCTTTACCGGCAGGTGGCAGTAGGAGCAGCGCCCACAAAGCGACAAAGAGCGGCAGTTCCAAGGTGCGGCGATCGGCGGAAAAATTAAATTTACAAACTTTTCTTAAAAACCAACCCCAGAAATCAAACTTTGTTGTATTAAAAAACACAACTTCTCATAAATAATGTGACCAAAGTTCAAATCATATTACTTGGTCTAACCCATTAAAATACAATCCCCATTTTTGCACAAACCATTAATAGATGTTCCCCCAGAACCGTACATACAGGCCTGCAATGTCCCCCATTCACACTTCTTATAAGACCACCCCCTTTTGTTGTGCCCCTCAAGGACCCCCCCAACAGCCCCACGCTCTCGCCTAGCCAGCCAACCCTCCCCAAACCCATATTTTCTTTTAGCACCATTTCCTAGTGTACTCGTGTGCCTTGAAAATTTTAAGATTATTTCTCCCCTTCCTCCATCTCTAGCTACTCTACTTATTTGTTTTTTCCCCTTCCCTCAGAGCTCTTTCTCTTTCTCTCTCTGTACTCCCTGCCATGGCATCATCCGGCTCTGCCACTGCCACTGCCACTGCCACTGGCTCCCCTTGTGGTGCATGCAAGTTTCTGAGACGAAAATGCGCCTCTGACTGTATTTTTGCGCCTTATTTTTGCTCGGAACAAGGCCCTGCAAGGTTTGCAGCCATTCATAAAGTTTTTGGTGCTAGCAATGTGTCCAAGTTATTGTTGCATATCCCAGCTCATGATCGTTGTGAGGCGGTTGTCACCATTGCTTATGAGGCTCAAGCAAGGATTAGAGATCCTGTTTATGGTTGCGTTGCTCATATTTTCGCCTTGCAACAACAGGTTAGATGATTTTTTCCTTTTCAAGGAGGGTTTCATATTTAGAACAAATATTTTCCCATGTTCTAATTTGAACATTTCTAAAAGGTTTTACTTGTCGGCTAAGATTCATTGTGGAAAGATCAAACTTCTTAAATTCTTTGACTCGAGTACCGTTTTCCCTTATTCTTGTTTCCTTTTTCACCATTTTTCTTCATTACAGAAGAGTTCTGGCAATGATACAGTTGCTGAAAAAGATTAATACTACAGATCTTGTATTCGAGAGTTTTTTTGTTTTTCCAACCGAGTTTCCTTTTGTTTTTGATTGGCTTAACTTTAAAAAGAACCGACACACAGATGCCATTATGCAACCATTTCCTAATCTTCTTGCATATTCTCTTTTCTTGATTTCATAGGTGGCATGCCTGCAAGCTCAATTAATGCAAGTGAAAGCTCAACTGGCTCAAAATGCTATGAATTCACATAACATAGAGAGTCAGTGGCAAGGAAACCTTTCTGGGCTGCCTTCCATTCCAACTTATCCAAGCTACATGAATCCAATCTCCCCACAAAGCTCACTTGAGTCAGTTGAACCCAACAGTGCCGATAGCATGAATATGCAAGAAATACAAAGCAGAGAGGAGTTTTCTTTCCAGGGTTATCCTAAGAAGAGACTATATAACAGTGATCTGGGTGAGCTTCAAGCACTTGCCCTTAGAATGATGAGGAACTGAACTGAAGCATCCTTTTTCATTTTTTTTCTCTATGGAGTATGGTCCTGCTTCTGTTCTGATGGTGATCTTTTTCCAAAAGAATGATGTATATACCGAGATTGTTCCCAAAAAGAAAACTTACTATAACTTTGATCATCAGCCTACTGTTGGCATTTTCCTTTTTGTTCAACCAAAATTTTTATTACAACTTGGAATTCAGCTCTATCTTCAGTCCACTCATTCACTCATAGCTGGTGCAATAAATTACTGGGGGTGGTTAATTCCCTTTATGAGGATAAATTTGTCTGTTCTGATATCTGAATGATAATTGGTCCTGGAAACTTATCGTTTACTTGGGGGGTGGTTAATGAGGATAAATTTGTCTGTTCTGGTATCTGATATTAATTTGTCTTGTCCTGGAAACTTATAGTTCACTTGGGGGTGGTTTATTCCCTTTATGAGGATAAATTTGTCTGTTCTGGTATCTGGATGATAATTTGTCTTGGAAACTTGTACTTTACTTGGGAGGTGGTTAAATTTTCTTTTGATAGTCTACTGTTCAGAGAGCCACAATAATAGAGCAACTTCGTTTGACGATCTGATAAAGGCCTTGGAATTCGGATTATCATGAGTTGTTTACATCCCTTCTTTCACACCTATCAGTTCACGACCAATGAAAGATTACACATAAACATACAAATTTGAACCCTATGGTGTCCTTTCCTACAAAGGGACATTAATTAAATTAAGAAAGCAATTGTTAGGGGGTTTCTAGATGACATTCTTATATTATATAAATTATCAGCCTGAAATCACAGCATGCTGGTTCAATCTATTTCTTCCAAGCCAAACTTGATTGCCTCCAACTATCGTCATCATCGCGTAATGTAAATAATTTTAGCGTGTTATAGGAAAACTCTACCACACAGCATTGCTTAACTGTGTTTTTCTCTTTTGATTCTCTTTTCATAAGCCTAAATTTTTTACACACAAAAAAAAACCATTAATTCTAATACTTAAAATGCGGGGAAAGTGAACTTAAGCAAAAGGTCCCCAAGGATTCCTTCCAACATCTCTTTGGTCCAAATGCAGATCACCTGGAATGACTAGCATTATGACTTTGCTTTGAAAATTTTCGTGTCAATAAATAGGGATCAGGGAAGAGGCTGTGAGTGCTATCATGGTCATTAGAGGCAAGCACACTCTTGGGGGAAGTATACTTGGGACCCACCCACTTAGGGTTTATGTTTTAATTAGTAGGTTTACCTAACATAAGTATTC